CATTACCACGATTATTAATGTCTTGAACTGTTCCGTTTCAGTGTGAAGACGGTAACTTGCTCGGCAAACATGAAACATGTATGGGTGGAAGCCGATTTATGAAATGGAAATGTGAATGCCAGTGGCCGTTCGCATGCGACTACTCTCCATTGCACAAAAGTTATGTGTGCATGGGAGAAGAGGACTATGACAGGTATTTACTCCGGTATGTTTGTTTGAAGATGCAACATGGATATTGAGTATTATTGCCATATTTGTATTAACTAATATGTATTATTCATTTAATAATTCCTTTTGGCGTGCAATGATAACGACGTGATTGTAGTTTTCGTTAAACCGACATTTGGAACACAGTCAATAATGGGAATCACGTAACAGCTTATTCCCGCTGAGGCAAAAGTTCTAAAGGCGATGACAAATTGTACCAGTACATTGCCTACATGTGGAGCGACGCCATGTTTCTTGCTGTTATGCCGGCACACACGTTTTAATGATTTCACTGGGGCAAGCTATAGTGATCCGTGTATTTCAAGCTTACGCGAAGGAATAACAATATATGAACAACAATGCTCACAGTGTAACCATATTGCATCTTTAAGAGTGTAGCTTCCAAATTTAGAAGCTGCACAGAACAGTACAATGATACACCAGTCTTATTAATCAATAGTTGCAGGGTAAGGTAAGGCTTATGTCACTTACATGCTGTATATTTGTAGATGATTTTATCGACTGTTCACTCTCTTCTGTTTGAAATGCATTATTTAAAATGAATAATTTGACAATCGTTTGAGACGCCAACTATGGACCTGGAAGCACACCAAATCTCACAGAATGGTCGTAGTGTGACAATAGTAAGCGTGAAATAAATTTGATTTTTCAAACTCAAAGATGTGGATGTCCACTTACAGACAGACATTACATATAATATATGATTAAAATATTATTTGGGTCGGTAGTGTTGCCGCTGAGCGACAACTGAACTTTTCAAGCTTGAATGAAAATGTCATGTTTGAAGACGAAGTTGTTGTAATGTGTTGGCCGCTAACCAAAAGCAGTTAATCAACTGTTCTTGAATAATAATGCGTTCTTTGTGAATATTTCTGGGGATTCGGGATTCAATTCGCGATTTACCTGATCAGTTGATGTCATTCAAAGAACCCATTCTGCTAGACTTGCTAAAATGCGAGCATCACTTCGTGTTTGATGGCCTCAATAGCTCATAAAAAACGCCGATTCATAAATCGAAACAAATTGTATAGATTCATTTGGCGTGTTCGATTTCCTCAATTAAGCAGGAAATAACTGTCCTTGATATTGATTTAGAGTCGCATCTTCGATCAATGATATTTCACTACTGTTTATTTTCCCAATGCAATTAGCCAACCGTTAAACTCAGCTTGTGGTGAGTGATCAAGCTATTTATTACCAGATGCATTTCAAAATTTAAAAGGATAACACTCATTACACTTAAAATAAACAAACCTCGTAGATTCAATACAATTAAAAATATACATATTTTATCTAGTTTTGCTATAACCATTAAATATTCTCAAATGTCTATTCCCAGTGACTATTTGATTTAAATACCTCGCAATGTAGACGATAAATAGCCCTATCCTATGCAATAAATACACAGATAAGAGACGCAAACAGGCTCTCACATTTACTGATTTCGAATTTAAAAGCAACAATGTATTTCGAACAAGTAGGCTTATTTACTAGGGATTGATTACCACATGGCATGTACTATTATGTTTCAAGGCATATATATTAGGTGCGAGATATCGTAGTAACACGAGACGAAATGTTTTTATTGCCTTGCGGGGTTTAGCGTTTCAAATTTAAGAAAGAGTGTTTGATAACGGACACCAGTTTTTCGAGTTTATCCTCAAGACATGTAATCCATTAGTGTCTATGAATATATTGGCACGTAATGTACCTGTCAAAAACGTTGATTGTAAAAAAACCGGATGAATATAAAAGCGATGTACAGTTCCCTTGGGTACTGATCGCTATTAATATTTCAATTATCGTATCACGTTATTACCGTTATCAGCAAATATAAAAAAAATGTCACCGCGGATGGCTAGCTAACTTTTGTAACATCTGACATTCTGAAGTTTGCATGACCTTTGACATTTGGCTTTTTGATGGATTTTAATTTGTAGAGCCTCGTGGGAAAAGCCAAGGCTTCGACCCCGTCATCTAAGTACAAGCATCGATGTAAATGGGCTAAGCATGTCATCAATTTGTAATATATGTTTCGCATCACGGGACGATATATCGAGAGACTAGACTAAATTAACGGACTTGGAAATGAGATAAAATTCAACAAGTATGGCTGCCTGTAAGTTGTGTTACCACATTTTTGGTGTTTTGATACAAATACCTTGTAAATTGCTTGCCTATTATCCTTCAAACCAACCGCTAATATCCGCTAACAAATTATTACTTGCTTCTATTGTTAAACTAGTCATATTGTTTATTATAATTTTCTCTCGTTAATCTGGCTAAAATGCCCTTATGCCATCTCGCATGAATCATGCAATAAAATGTTCTAAATGTATAACCATCACAGGTAAGACAGAAAGAAAGGAATTTTTCTGAAAGGTGTGAACAATTGTCATACAATGTGGCAGAAAACTGATTCTTAGAATCAAATTGAATGTATAAAGCCAAAGAAGCAGATTATGTCAATGTAAAGTTTAGCTGGGAATATCTTTGAAATACAGTAATTTAATTTAGCATCGTTTATAGATAGGACACTTATATCTTAATATATCTGAATGTGAAATGTTCTGGCTTCTTTAACTTTTGTTTTTAACATAACAAGCGTTAATTGAAATTTATCTTGATTTTAATATTCTCAGTTTATTTACACCACTTCTAGAAAAAAATGACATCGCAGTATTACTGAAGCCACATTTTGATAGTAGATACTAAGTATATATTTACTACTAATAATCCATGGTAGCCAAATTCTAAAATATGTCCAAAATATTTATTTTATATGTGTATGTAACCAACCATTATGGTCATTATGGAAACTCTTTCCGCAAATATACCTGACTTTCCTTCAGCAGAGTCGACATTTTCAAAATCATTGTACACTTTACACCCAACACAAGTCAATATAAATTGATATTCATTTAAAATCCACCAACAATATATGAATTACTTCGTACTAAACTCCGATATTTCTCTACAACTAATCAATAACTGTTTCGATTTCGGGATTGAAATTGAATGCATACTAAACAAATAATATAATTATATTGTGAGTATCTCTCGTAGTGAACGCAATCTAAAAGAGTTTGATTACATCCAATTGAACGTTTCTCCAATTTATCCCATCATGTGCATCTTGCTCGATCAATCATGATTTTTAGTATGGGAACATTCGAAAGATTAACTCACAGCATGCATATTGATTGTCTCGCATGTATAAAATACTCATAACCTCATCTATTCTGATGATTTGGATTATTTAGCATTTTAGTGTGGGTGCAGTAACCGTTGAATACAAACCGTGAAATAATAGATTGTTACGTTCTCTGAATGCATAGATTCCCGCGAGTATTATTTTGGGTAGTTTATAATAGGAACCATTGTATATCACATCTAAATCGAATTAATTCATCATTACACAAGATAACGATGTCAATGGTTAGGGATATCTTGCACGTTTTGTCTACTGCAAAAGGGATTACACATGAAATGAGTTTTCTGACAGAGTAAGCATTTAAGCATTGGTGTTAGATTTGCATATTTTATCCGACACAACATCTACTCATTATGTCAATTGTATATGTCATTCACTGGGAAATCAACATTTTTTTTTTGTAACACTTCGCTAATTATTTGAAATATTTACAGTGATTCAAACGAAATTAGCGCTTTCGAGCCGTACGTATAACTGACGTACAGAAACAAGTTTGAAGGACACCAACAAAGTTAAGGATAATATAGTCGTAGCACAATCTCCCGCAGACGAATAACAATTGTCCAACAATATTTACTTTAAAACGCATATTACGTTGGTACTTATTTTTTGGTATATAAATATAATCCTCAGTACATTGTAATTGTATTTAGTGATAACATTTTCACAAAAGTGTAATGCAGTGATAACGCACGTGTAGAATGCTCAATCTGCTCAATACAGTTTTCAGGTAGAAGGGCATGGGAACACGAGTAGCCTAATTAGACAATACTCTGAATCAAATATTACATTGTAATTTTATTCGCCTTGCACAATTCGTTATAGCAACGTTTTATATGCATCTTCATATCTATCACTATTTGGAAAACAAAGAGTTTTCTAGTTAAATGAAGTTGCGGAGAGTTTATATGTTATGTCAGTTTCTCGTAAAGACACCGTCCTGCATAATAAGTCTATGCAGGTGTGAATGGGGAATGTAATTACGCCCATAAATATCAAACGCTGGCAATTAGTCGCGATTTTTCATCTCCTGTCGCTGCCAATAAAGCTCAAATTTGCGCTCAGGTGGGACATTTCACGTATCATATGCTAGTATAATATTAATAGATTTAAATTAGTTAGTTTGTTTCACTCGTTTTGTATACTATTATTACCAAACACATTGCATGCTAATTTCCTAACCGTTATCACAACATTCACATCAAGTACGTTAAGTATACGGGTGTATACCGCTAGTGATCTGCTGTACTAACATTTCACTGACGAACAAATTTGAAAAACCATGAGTATTTAGTGTCATCAACGCGATGCGAGGTGAATAAAGATGATTTTGCAGTTGATGCGTGCACGGTCAAGAAACTAGATACATGCCCGGTACAAACACATACATGCGTGCTCGTAGTTAATATTCTAATATTAATGATGTATAGCGATATACTCATGTCAATAAGCTAACAGAGTGCTTCCTCCTATGGTATGCTGAATCCGAGTACGTTCCAGTAATTCACTGCGCAAGCGTATTGATGAGTTTATTCATCCATAAAATTAATTCTGTGTTGTTAGTTGGAAAACGTTTGCAGTTTTAGATAACGAATATCCAACTATTATTATTATTATAACTATTATTATGTTATTTAGTAAAATTATTTCCGGGCTGTTTCGAGTTGTTGCCTCTCCTAGTGATTTGTTTTCGGTTCAAAAATGTCTCGCAAACCTAATACTTGCAACTCAGTACAGCGTGTTTGGGAGGCTGGGCAGACAGTACTCTCAGGAGTACCGCTGAATCGGCAATCAGCTTTGAGACACACAGTCAAACAAAAACACAACCTTAAGCGCTTAAAAGTACATACTGGAAAAGCGTAGTGTTCAAAGTGTGAATTGGGACTACGTTTGTGGGATGCGTGCCACGGCAGACCTTAGACACTAGTCTCCCGAAAGTACTTAAAGCATTTATCTGCCGTGTGTGTTTTTGTAATGTCTTCAGTAGCGCCCCATTCACAATAGTCGTCGTCACAATCGACAAATTCATCAAAAAAGACCTCGCATGGAAAAACCGTCGTATTATCGTGTAAAATAACAACAGATATCACGTTATTACGTTACAGACGCGTTAGTGCGGCACGCATCCTACCGAAAGAAAGTCCGCGTATTTCCTCTATTTTTTTAGTGGTCTGAGTCATGTTTTACAGTGCGTTGGTTACTAGTACTTAGCTCAAAACATTTTCTCGAGTCTTACCACGGCCGCTCATTGCAATGAAGCCACATTCAAGCATGCATGACAGTTGACATTTCAGTTCATTCCCAGTGGCCTGGTGATGTGACACACACATATGAACTCACATCTGCTCGTTTTCGCACAGTTTATTTGATAAGAAATCTAATATGCCCTCCAGTAAATTATTAAATTTAATATACCTTCGCATTGTGGAACTTCGTTAATTAAAATGTATGACGTAGTGTGGTTCAACTACTGATGTCAAACGAGTTTTATTTACACGAGGTCTACAGCTCCGAATTATTGATTCCGTACAAAAACCTGCTTATTTTCTCAGAGTGTTTAATAATTGCTATAAATTGTCTGCACGAAAAACAATTCGATCTTATCTAATCAACTTTATTCTGAAGAATTGAATGATTTACTGCAGTCTAAAATTATTATAGTTTGGAAAAATTGGCGCCAATAATGTCGAATAGTATTACTAGTATGTGTGTTCTTACCCCGTGCAGAATCCATGCGTTCTACTCGAGTGTTGAATAGCCCGTTTAACGTCCACTCCTTTGCATGTATGTATTCCTATATAGACGCTCTTCTGGAAATCGATATTTTTGTTCTTAAACGGGTCATACCTCCCGTTGTTATTAGGGTATTTTATTAGTCCCCGTTCGGACGCATGACCCCTGTGCGTGCGTGTGTGCGTATGTGTGTGCGTCCGAACCTGTATCTTAGACATGCCTTGACTGATTACATTCAAACTTCATACATATATCATGCATACAATTTGACATCTGCACATCAATTTCTTTCACAATCAAGACGGTCGAATCGCAGCAATTTTTGTGCAAAAAAATCACCAAAATCAAGCATTTCTGGAGTTCCAGAACTGAATCTCGGTTATTTATGGATGGATTTTGTTCAAACTCGGTACATACATTAAACAGTATGGGTCCCTGGTGCACTTTATTTTGTTTTTCAAATCAGATTCAAAATGGCTGACTGGCGGCCAGTTTTTTGTAGTGAATGCGGTTCTGGCATACTTTGACTGATTATGTTCAAATTTTATATATTCATTATACATCATATCATAGATATTCAAAATGGCCGACATTCTTCTAAGTAATGCTGTTCCAGAGCGACATCCCTCAGTATGGACAAGTACTCGTTTGACGATCAGATACATTTTAATGTTAACAAATCACAATCAAGCATCAGCTTCTGAATCCATATCTCTGACATGTTTATGTTCCAACTATATTACTATAAACAAAACTATATACCTTATAATTTGATAACCAACCGGGACTGTGCCATGCATGGCTTGTTATATATATTTTCTTCGATTGTTCGTGGGAGAATAATAATTAAATGCTCGCATGCTGTCTTCTGGGTAGAAAGAGAACATGTATCCCTATGTGAGCAATAACGAGATGTAGAAAGGAAGAATTCTCTAATGTTTAATTAAATTTAATTAGTTGCTCATACAATAAGTCTCGCTGAGGAAAATACAAGATAAGACTTTATTGTCCTGACATGTGCCTTAGGCATACTGGGCTTATCACAATTATTATTAAATTATTAATGTAAATTCGAAATATGTTAACTTTTTTATGAATTAGACAATCGAACATATAACACCTGAAATATGCCTCAATTTTATAATATGGAACAATTTATGTTATTTAATCTAACCTCTCTATTAATCTATTAATCCAACCGACTAAGCTTAAGTTAGATTAGAACAAGTCTAATCTTGTATTCTTTAGTAATTGACCGGCGGTAATTAAAGACGCCAACATTAGAGTTAGTTATTCATCGACAACTTGATATACGAGAATATATTCCTAATTAGCTACATTAGCATAATTGGCTGCATGCCTAATTGCGTACGTCAAGCAAACTGACAGGCATCGTCTTAGGGTCTCTTATTTACTAGAACTAATTAGCTAGTAATGAAAGGTAATATATGCATAAATGAACAATTATTTTAACATGTTATGAGTTAACGTGCTTTCGTCGTGTTATATAATATGAGCTAAACAGAACCAATGAATATGCTTGTACGAGGACGTGGTTCAAATTAAACAAATATGAGTCAGATGTGCAGAAATCCCTTTCAGTATAGTCGGTGCCTCAATTATTATGCATTCAGTTTTTTAAGAAAAATGTACTTTAATCGCATGCACCTGGTCACATTGTTTTTTTAAGACGTGCACATATGACGTAGGAAATACGTGGTTACACGAATGTAGCTGCTGGCACACAACCAGAGTTGATGATGGAGGTTGTGCTGCAATTACAACAAATTACCTAAATTACTAAGAAATTCATAACATAATAAAAGCATGCTGGAGCGGATGTTCTAGCTAAATTGTCTATGTACGTTTCTGTTAATGTTGAGGTCAAACAAATCTTAAATAAACATCGCCGGTTTCGTTTTTGTTCGGAGATTCACTCAGATCCGAAAGCTTGGCTGATATGTGTTACTGGAGTGGGTAGATTAAACTAATTTTAGTTCACCAAGTTTGAAAATTTGTAAAATAAAATGTCTTGTCTGTTTAGCTCACAGTATCGTAAGTTACCTTCTACGCAACAAATAATTCAATTGAAATTAGTACGTAAAACAGTGCTGTCCAATACAATCCCGTACTCTACGAATATCTCAGCGATGCAAATGATAGAAAGCAGAACACATGAGAATAAATTGTTGTTTTGGATAGGAACAAAATGGAGATCACTGAAAAATGTAAAGAATACCCCCGTATACCATTACGGTTGTCTGACGTCTTAGAAATTGACACCGATACCATACAAATGAACACGAGCATGTCCACCGGATATGACGTTTTATCTCAATTACTGTCATAACTGTCGTCCGTTGTTTTCTAATGTATATGCTTTTAGCGGTTTGATGTACGTTTCCAGCCTATTACCGGTGCATTACAAAGTTGACATTTTTCTTTGAGATATCAACGACGAAACATTCTGCTGTATGTATTAGAATTTGGGGAATTTACGCCAGTGGGCGTCTTGAAATAGTTCCAAGCTAATAACATTGATAACACATTGTACAATAATGCCAATGCCATTTTCATTCAGACGACAACTTTTATGCGCGTAAAGCGAGAGACGTATTTCAATAATACGACAAAGACTTTTCGTTTTAGACATTGTGAATTTATTTCGTTTTATTTCGTTAACCCGGAAGACAACTGCTTTTGCCATAAAAATTCAGAATATATTACGAATTATTCGTAGCGAAATGTTTTTCATGTGCATACCAACGATATTTGTCATAATTACCGAATACACAAGACTATTACAGCAAAAAAGATAATTCGCTATATTCTCAATATTGTTTGCATTTTATTTGTCTTAAATTATGCCATGCACTTCGAGACTTCACAGTCTCCGCAGATTTCAGAAGCAGAAAATGTCACAAAAATACACCATCAGTAGAGAAATAAATATAAATAATTGCAAAGTAAACAAGTCTAATTTAAGAACATAGCTCCACTATTTTTTTCATGAACTTGTTTCGACTATTAATTATGAAATTTAAATATGATTAATTCCCCAAAGTAATGAAGTAGGACCCCGTTATATTAGTTTCAGGCTCGTTGTCCTATCGGGGTTTTACCGAGTTTAGAACACTTAGTCTCTATGTCCTAAGTATATACAGTCATAGATTAGCTTCTTAATTGGTAGACTCGAGGTGGAAATACAACAACAAATCAGCTGGTGAAAAACAATGGTAAACATGTATAGGTTTCACACCACAACTAGAACGTATATATTAGGCACGGTAATCCGTATAATTTTGATTTTGAAAGTTGCAACGAACCTCCCATTATAAAGTGATGTCTCTGAATACGACCTAAATATATAGGCCTCATTTGTCAATATCAAAATTTAGAAAAATTCGTAGTTATGATTGGTGCATGATTTGAATGAACAATATGTACAACGGCTTTTATTAGCTGCTTACATTTCCATTTACACTGCATTTGTTTGTGTGTTTCTTGACTTTATACATTATTTGTTTTTTTCTCAGTGACTTTAAAGATACACTCAAGAGATTCATATTTTAATAACATCATCGCGTGACGTGAGGAAGAAAGGTTTTTATCATCGTTGTGGATTCAGAAGAACAGGTTGAAACAATTTCGATGGAAAAAACACGGTTATTTCCGATAGACGCTGCTACGATTATACACCTCAACAGCGCCCTCTAAACGCACCACCTGACAGTGTTGTTGTAGTACTTCTTTCTGTTGTCTGCGCTGAAGTTATTGCCATGCCCGCCAAATGATTATCCATTATTTTGATGTCAAAATCAATAACGCATATATTTTGTTCAAGGGGTGCCTTGGTATTTGAAGAAGCCGTTTTTTTATCATTATGTATTAGGTGTGTATCGAGTCAAGATGGAAGACAACTAGAGAGTAGGATGATGTAGTTACCGTGAACACCAGCGTCTATCCGAAATAAAACTAGAATTATAAAACAAAAATTACTTATTGTATTGTAATGTGCGTACTTTTACGTTTCACATTGGGTTGCATGTTTTTTTATTTAATTTTAACGGTAACGACGATTAAAGACGAATAATAGTCATTGCTGTACCATACTGAAGTAAAAACCAAATGATTTCCCGTGGTAACACAGCTTATCAATAACCCGATTTGAAGTAGCACACCAGTACATGAATCTGAAGAACAATATGTCCTGGAAAGATCACGACTTCATTCCGCATTCCCTTAAATTCCATACATATTCTAAATTCCAGTCATAGTAAAATACTAGAGGATAGCCATCTACAGTGATACATCAGTGCTATTGTTTTGCAGTGATGCAAAACATGTGATCCTAGTTTCGCTACTGACGTCATTGCCTCTGATGTCGAATTGACTACGGGATCATAGCTATATTTGTGTTTAGGTATGCAGTGCCTCAACGTACTACCAAGGGCGCCATCAACGACACGAATGTGTTTGTATATCGAATCGATCACTGGGGGCGCTATTTGCTTTTACGTTTTGAAGAACGTGTCACAAATCGGTTACTTGATAAGAAGCAAATGCTATAGGATTTTTACTCATAAAAATACGTTTCGTAATTTCACTATCTTTTCTCAATTTGTCAAATTTAACGATGTAATGTTAGTTGTAGTGAATATGTATGTAGTTGTAAGACGACATTGTTTGTAACTATTTTGATAGAATTCTGAATTAAATGTTGATCACTTTCAGCATCTGTCTATATTCATCATTTGAAATCAACCCAATAGATGTCAACTCTTTGGACGGCACATTTTTTCCTTCAGAAGTAGTGAGTTTACAATATACTATTTAAATTTATTAAAAGTGAGTTCTCAAAGTATATTTTAAATTCTGATAAGTTTAATAGTGAAACTGCTCCTGTCTGTTTGAATAAATCCTGGAGCTTCGCCATCAACGTGAAATACTAGTACATCCTGAGAATACCGCCCTCTCGCGGCGTATTAAAAAATGCAGTTAAAAGCTTGTCATTTTCTGGATTGATATTTTTTTTCAATTAAGGCCACACTGATTTAATTTTATGGATGACATCCTCTGGAGACCCCAAAA